AAAATCTCCTGCCTCGGACAGGGGGCTGGATTAGAAGCCCCCCCAAGGTCCCTTCCAGCCCTCTATGTCTATGTCTCCAAGGAACTAGAAAATAGATTGGAATTTTATATGCGTGAAAAGCTGAAAAAAACCCACAACTGAGGGGGTCTTCTATATTGGTCAATATCGACCCTGTAAGGGTTCTTAGGACTATCCCGTAAATCAAGAAATTTGCGGGGCTAAAAAAGGGGGTTTAGTAAATGTCTGGGGCTCAACAGGTGGCAGGTGGAAGGTCGATGGGACCCAATTCATGGGGAGGGGGTCTCTGAAAAGCTCTAGGGCAGCCCATAGTCCTGAAGGAGAGTGCTGATCCATCAGTGCTCAAATTGTCATTAACATCCGTCATGCTACTGAGTTAAAGTGGTGCTCATTGTGTTATAATTTGGGGAGGGAGGCGAAGAGTTTGGGGAACCCCCGGCATTAAACCAAAGCTGCTCGGAATTGTGCTCCTCCTGCATGAAGCAAGATGATGGGATGGGGGGGGGGGCTTTCTTGCAGACGCTTCATTACTCAAGCTACGTAATGTCACCAGCGATAGAAATGTCTCAAATGGTATATACGGTTTCCTGCCTGAGCAGGGGGTTGGACTAGATGACCTCCAAGGTCCCTCCCAACTTTATTATTATTATTATTACAGAAGGGAGAGGGGTTTTGCTCTTGGTTTCTATTCAATATAACTCCATCAAACACTGACGATGTTACGCAGTTGAGTAAGGAAACATCTGCAAGGAAACCACTGAGCTCGGAAAGCACCATGGGCCCCACAGTCCTCCTCCTCCTCCTCCACTGCACAAACCCCTCTCCCTCCTAGCACTGACGATGTTCCCTAGTTGGGTCATGAAAAGTCTGCAGGAAATCTCCCAAGTTCAGAGAGCACCAAGGACCCCACAACTCTCCTCCTCACCATGTTACCTAGCTGAGTAATGAAATCTTCAAGAAAACCACCAAGCTCAGAGAGCACCAAGGACCCCACAGTCCTCCTTCCCCTTCTCTTCCACTCCACAAACCCTACTCCCCCCTAGCACCCACGATGTTACTTAGCTGAGTAATGAAACGTCTGCAAGCTCAGAGAGCACCAAGGACCCCACAGTCTTCCTCCTCCTCCTCCTCCTCCTCCTCCTCCTCTCCAGAAATCCCATTCTTTTCTAGCACTGATGATGTTACCTAATTGGGTAATGAAATGTCTGCAAAAAAGCAACCCAGACAGCACCAAAGACTCCTTGGTTCTCCTCCTCCTCCTCCTCCTCCTCCTCTTCTTCACAAACCCCTCTCCCTCCCAGCACTGATCATGTTACTTAGATGGGTAATGAAATGTCTGGAAAAAAAAACTCAGAGAGCACCAAAGACTCCTTGATCCTCTTTCTCTTCCTCCTCCCTACAAACCCCCCTCCCTCCTAACCCTGATGATGTTACCTAGCCAGGCAAGGCAACGTCCGCAAGAGGACCACCCCAAGCTCGGAAAGCACCAAGGACCCCACTGTCCTCCTCCTCCTCCTCCTCCTCCTCTCCACAAATCCTCCCAGCACTGATATTGTTACCTAACTGGATAATGAACTGTCTGCAAAAAAAAAAGCAAGCCAGTTCAGACAACACCTTGATGATCCTCCTCCTCCTCCTCCTCCTCCTCCTCCTCCTCCTCCTCCTCTTCACAAACCCCACTGCCTCCCAGCACTGATCATGTTACCTAGATGGGTAATGAAACGTCTGAAAAACAAAAACACTCAGAGAGCACCAAAGACTCCTTGGTCCTCCTCCTCCCTACAAACCCCCTTCCCTCGTAACCCTGATGACGTTACCTAGCCAGGCAAGGCAACGTCTGCAAGAGGACCACCCCAAGCTCGGAAAGCACCAAGGACCCCACTGTCCTCCTCCTCCTCCTCTCCACAAATCCTCCCGGCATTGATGTTGTTACCTAACTGGATAATGAACTGTCTGCAAAAAAAAAAAAAAAAAACNTCCTCCTCCTCCTCCTCCTCCTCCTCCTCCTCTCCAGAAATCCCATTCTTTTCTAGCACTGATGATGTTACCTAATTGGGTAATGAAATGTCTGCAAAAAAGCAACCCAGACAGCACCAAAGACTCCTTGGTTCTCCTCCTCCTCCTCCTCCTCCTCCTCTTCACAAACCCCTCTCCCTCCCAGCACTGATCATGTTACCTAGATGGGTAATGAAATGTCTGGAAAAAAAAACTCAGAGAGCACCAAAGACTCCTTGATCCTCTTTCTCTTCCTCCTCCCTACAAACCCCCCTCCCTCCTAACCCTGATGATGTTACCTAGCCAGGCAAGGCAACGTCCGCAAGAGGACCATCCCAAGCTCGGAAAGCACCAAGGACCCCCCTGTCTTCCTCCCCTTCCTCTCCACAAATCCTCCCGGCACTGATGTTGTTACCTAACTGGATAATGAACCGTCTGCAAAAAAAAAAAAAGCAACCCAGTTCAGACAACACCTTGATCCTCCTCCTCTTCACAAACCCCAGTGTCTCCCAGCACTGATCATGTTACCTAACTGGGTCATAAAACGTCTGGGGAAAAAAACACTCAGAGAGCACCAAATACTCCTTGATCCTCCTCCTTTTCCTCCTCCCTACAAATCCCCTTCCCTCCTAACCCTGATGACGGTACCTAGCCAGGCAAGGCAACGTCCGCAAGAGGACCACCCCAAGCTCGGAAAGCACCAAGGACCCCACTGTCTTCCTCCTCCTCCTCCTCTCCACAAATCCTCCCAGCACTGATGTTGTTACCTAATGGATAATGAACCGTCTGCAAAAAAAAAAAAAAAAAAAGCAAGCCAGTTCAGACAACACCTTGATCCTTCTCCTCCTCCTCCTCCTCCTCCTCTTCACAAACCCCACTGCCTCCCAGCACTGATCATGTTACCTAGCTGGGTCATAAAACGTCTGAAAAAAAAGGCAACCCAGCTCAGACAACACCTTGATCCTCCTCCTCCTCCTCCTCCTAAATCCCACTCTCTCCTAGCATGGATCGTGTTACCTAGCTGGGTCATAAAACGTCTGAAGAAAAAAAAAAAGGCAACCCAGCTCAAGAGAGCACGAAAGACCCCTTGGTCCTCCTCCTCCTCCCTACAAACCCTACTCCCTCCTAACCCTGATGACGTTCCCTAGCCGGGCAATGCAACGTCCTGAAGAAACCCCCCCACCCCAAGCTCGAAAAGCACCAAGGACCCCACTGTCCTCCTCCTCCTCTCCACAAATCCTCCCGACACTGATTTTGTTACCTAACTGGATAACGAACCGTCTGCAAAAAAAAAAAAGCAACCCAGTTCAGACAACACCTTGATCCTTCTCCTCCTCCTCCTCTTCACAAACCCCAGTGCCTCCCAGCACTGATCATGTTACCTAGCTGGGTCATAAAACGTCTGAAGAAAAAAAAAAAAGGCAACCCAGCTCAAGAGAGCCCCAAAGACCCCCTTGGTGCTCCTCCTCCTCCTCCCTACAAACCCCACTCCCTCCTAACCCTGATGACGTTCCCGAGCCGGGCAACGCAACGTCCTGAAGAAACCCACCCCACCCCACCCCAAGCTCGAAAAGCACCAAGGACCC